AAGCTAACTTTTCCCTTTGGGCCAGGTGAGCTAAAAATAAGAATCAAAAGGAAGCAGCGCCTGCATATAGAATATATATCTTCCAGTTGATACGATATTCCAGGGCTTGTATTTCCTATCATGATTTCTTTGATAGAGAGTTGCTGCTCACAAGGAAGCTATTAAACCATGAGTTCCAAGAGGTGAAGTTAAAATCATTCCTTCGTAAATTTTAAGGACTCCATCACGAGTTGGTTGACCGTTATGGAATATCTGTTTCACAAATGACGACGGATATGTTCCAATTGTCGTTAACTACAATCCCATCCTCTTTTCCCCGAATGTGACCTACCGAATTAGACTTATCACTGTGTTTCTACTTACACGAGCAACACGACGGGTGCCGCATGTGGAGCAGGATCTGCTTACCCTTCCGGAGCACCTAAGATCATCCCCGGATTGTGGGGTTCGCGTTACTAAGTTTTTACTTTTCTATGTTATGTTTTGTGGACTGTTGTTTGACTATTGGTCCTTTCCTTTTTTAGCCATCGCCTTTTCAGTTTATTTTCGACTTATGAGTGTGAATGTTCCTTTCGTCTTTCTTTTCTTCTATGGATCCTAATGTTTGATCCGTTAAAATTTAGTACGAATTGGTTAAAGCTTGTGTTTCTGTACGAAATGTTCACGGAAAAACTACAGTATACCATAATACGTTCGATCTAAGATGGGCTTCAATCTAATTAAAATATAGAACTCGGATTTCGTTATACTGCATACGAGATCTAACGATGACCCTAATCTCTTTCACTTTTGTGACCTTTTTTTGCGTAATATTTATATGATGCTTGTAGTGAAACCTTCATATAACAGACTTTCAACATACATTCAATCATATGTAAAGCAGGCAAGCATTTCAGCTTATACACTTGTTAAAGTATAGATCTTAACCTTGCCACTTTTTTATCTAGATTTTAAGATTAATAAAAGGTACATATAAGAAAAAAATAATAAAATTTAGTTCTATTGGTGAATTTTTGAATTGATGTATTCTAATGAAGGAAGTTGTCTAGCAAACAAGCAGTAAAAATATCAATTATTATGTCAATGATAGACTAGGATTGTTTTTTTGTTATATATGTATCCACTACAGCATGGCCCATAGCCAACTACCTAAGATTTTTTTATTACTAGATACAAAATAAAAGACCCCCCCACTGACAGTTCACAAAAATAGAACAGTAAGGCACCTCTCTAGTAGACTCTACCAACTGAGCTGAAAAAAACTTCACCAGAGCAGCTAATAGAGGACAGTTTTTGTCTCGCCTTGACGGAGTCAAAAAGCGAGACATAGGTATGCTGTTTCCAGCGGGGGCGGCGGCGTCAACAATGTATTAGTTAGTTTGTGATTAGGTCTAGTTCATGGTGAACCACTAGTGGTAGGTCAATGATATTTGGTATGCAGTTGTATTAGCATTGGCACATCTCATTACCATGGAGATTATTTGGCCCCGCCCCCTCAGTCAAGGTCTATTGACTTTGAAACTTTTCATAGTTTACATGTTTTAGTTTGTGATTAGGTCAATTTATGGGGAACCACTAGTGGTAGGTCAATGATATTTGGTATGCAGTTGTATAAGCATTGGCATATATCATATCCATGGAGATTATTTGGCTCCACCCCCTTAGTCATGGTCTATAGACTTTGAAAATTTTGCTTAGTTTACATGTATTGGTTTGTAATTAGATCAGTTTAAGATGAACTGCTAATGTTAAGTCAATGATATTTGATATGCAAATGTATTGGCATTTGCAAGTATCGTTTCCATGGAGATTATATAGCCACACCCCTGATCATGGTTCATTGACTTTGAAACTTTTACACAGTTTACAAGTTAATGTTTGTGTTTAGGTTTGTTTAAAGGGAACGACTTATGATAAGTCAATGGTATTTGGTATGCAGTTGTATTAGCATTGGCACATCTCATTCCATGGAGATTGTTTAGCCATGTACGTTCAGTCATGGTTCATCGACTTTGAATATTTGCATAACTTACATGTTAAAGTATTGCTATTTTAATTTCAACATTTGCATTATCAAAATTACAAAAAGGCGAAACATATCTCTGTGATAACAGTTTATTTTCTTGTATGCAAGCCGAGGTTGGGGAGGGGGGTGCTTGTGGCGCTACACATATATATGTATGGTTTATCAATGCTTAGACTTTTTACATGTCCCATTCAAGCTATGCAAAGTTTGCACCCCCTTATCAAGATCCTTGATCCACATCTGGCAGAGGGAAGCACCGCTATTGTGTACAGTTTAACAGTGTTTCCTGTACTCTTTAATTTCCACGATTACCATCCGACCTCAAGTCATAAAGCATATGAGGCACATCTGAAAACTATGACGAACGTCACATATTTCAAATATTCATGGCTATAGTTACAAAATGAAAGAGATTTAAAAACTATTTCCAAACGATTAACAATCGAAGCGATAAATTTTAAGTCCCATTGTTTTTATTTTTGGATACCCTCGGGACCTTTCAATGAACCTCATTTAGGTATATATGTTCCGCGTGCGCTGTTCAGATTCGATAACTAGAAATCTGATTGGTTAAAAAAGTCACATGCAAAATCCGTCAGAAGTGAAACCTTAAACGGGTAGCTGTTAGATCTCGTATGCAGTATAACGAAATCCGAGTTCTATATTTTAATTAGATTGGATGGGCTTATGATACCACACTTATGAGTGTATGCACAAAGGAGATAAATTATATGTTTTTCATAAATCATTGTGCATAAACAACCACATAAACCACATCTTACTTAAACGTATGCTACAGCGAAGCTCTTCAAAGCTTTTTTAGAAAGCCAATTACATTTATAGAACGTGTTTACATTTGTGGTGTACTTTTTTGTCTAGTGTACTGATTGTTCGATTTTGTGTCCGTCTCTGATACAGATACACTACGTGTGCGTCGAAAACGTGTACTTGATAGAAGCTTACAAATATTAGGCAACAAAATTATTGAATTTATGTTCATTTTTACTTATGAATTTAATAGGTCAATATTATAAAGCAGACAGGGAAAACAATGAAATGCATATACAAAGTACATGTTTTTTTTATTTATTAAGCCAAGCGATTGTACATTAAAGGCTAAAGTGATCATACAGTAAATTCGCAAGCGAGTGTACAGTCAAAACATTTTCCGACATTAAGATAATGAATTTATTTACATTTCCGCTAGGACAATGGCTATTAAACTTTCAGAGTTGCATGATATCAAAAAAAGGGTCATAGGTTAAAATTTTGGAACTAACGATTGGGTTTTTTACAATCTTTTTGCAGTTTCAATTGCTGCTGGGCAACAGTTCTGATCGATTTACTCGAAGCTCCATCATAGACATCATATTATGGAAAACGTTTGGGTGCATATATGTCGTTTTTATTATTCAATTGATATATATGTTGTTTACAAATTGTAATGTTGTACAAATTATAATTTGTACAGTATTTTTGTACAAGTTATCAGTATTTTGTGAATCCCTTTACATAACTAGATAAAATAAGCACAGTGTCTTTGGTTAAGCTTCTCACGGTTTTATTTCCACAACTACACGCTACAGTCTTGCACATAGTACTGACAAAAAGTTTATACAAAAGCACTAAAACATATTTTGTGGACATAGAATTTGGTATGAGTAAAAAAATAAAAATATAATCTAAACCAATCATGTGTCCTTATTTGTAGTTTTATGACATAGAGGCTTGTGCTTAATGTTAGGTTGAAGTATATAAATTTGTGAGTAAAACACCGAACTGGATAATTATTGAAGGTAAACTTGTATCACATGGTGAAAGAAGGTGTGTGTCAAAATACTGATAACTTGTACCAAAACCCTGTACAAATTATAATTTGTAAGAAATTACAACTTGTACACAACATATATATAAATACATGTAGAATGTTTTCGTTATCTGATCCTGTTATTCTTTCGAATGTCGGATCCCCGCTTGACATTTTCCCGAATGACCAAACAATTTATAAAAGAAAGGTTACAGTTCCGTTCCCACAATGTGGTTATTGGCATTTAGGGAAGAGTTCCCCTCATTAGGTTAGTTGTATCTATCTGGAACTTGCTGTCAGAGTTGAGCGTTTTCTCTATGCTGACATGTAAGGTCTCAATGTGACTTTTAGATGAAAAACAGTAGGTAAATCGATGTTCTCTAATTCTTTCACTATTCTCATATTTCACAAAACAAATTGTTCTCCTCACTAGTGAAATAACTGTTCTCGGCATATAATTGGCCGAAATTTAATTATGACGTCAAATTTTCTTGGTTTCTTCTGAATTTCCTATTGTGACGTCATGAAAAAAGGCGACCATGCCCAATGACGTCAAATATAAAGAGCACAACTTTCAAATCTTTCAAAAAGAAAGGATAAAAATCATTAGAGAAACAGATTTCACCACTATAACTTGTGTATTACGATATTTCTCTACTCTCAACAGTTAAATTTTAATTATTCAAAAAGCTCGGCAAGCCTAGCATTTTAAATATTAAAATTTAACAAGTTGAGAAATATCGTAACACACTTGTTGCTGTGGTGGAATCTATATTTCTTCGCTTTTTATTTCGTCAAGAAAGTGAGGTGACTTTGTGACATAAAATAATACACCATACCTCTCCTTTTTTGACAAACGTTTATTTTGATCTGAAAAATACATAATTACGGATATTTGGGGGAGTTGTTTATTCGGCGTTAATGGTTATTTGTTTTCATGATTACTTGTCACCAAAAAGTTCTGCTGCCACCATAAATTTCTTGTTTAAAACGTGCCAAATCTTGAAGAGTTTCGCTAGATGTGCGATTATTGCTCGTTACAAGTTCTTAATCTTGAATTTGCAAATATTCTTTTATCTATCGCATCCTTGGTTAATCACAAAGTTACCTAATTGGGAGATATAATCCGCATAAATATTCTACTATTATTTTTTTTTTTTTTTTTAGATTTTAAACTAACTGTCATTGGGAGAAATAACCTTAAGGATATTATTGTATTCTCATTTGAAAAAAATCAGCTGTTAAGTCATAATTCCAAATTAGAACGTATTTGCATTGACAAACCTTGCTAATTTCAAAATCTCGATAAAAATCGAACTATATATACGAAGTTAACCAATCAAGTCTGGGAAATACAGCCTTGGTTGTATAGTTTTCAGAAAGATATGGCAGAATATAATGCAAACGAAGAGACTATAAAAACAAATGGTTCACAACTTTCTACTGCTAAGGACAAGGACCAGAGCGATGATACGCATTTAACTAAAACAGAAAGATCTTCTAAGCAGTTGAAAAATAATACGTCAATAACGCGACGGCACGTCTCGCCTAACTCACCAAAAGAAAACAGAGAAATAATGGCGGATGATGGTAATGATAGGGACGATGATGATAACGAAAAAAAGCATCGTCTTGAGCGAAGACAAATATTCAATCTGATAAAATATTTCATATCCATGGTGCTCGCTGTGTCCGACATAACATTTGACTGGATTGAGTATTTTGAAATGAACAAAAGAGGAAATTACTCCATTGTTGTAAAAAGACGGTCAAGAACTTTTTCGGACACCGATTTTACTCATGAATGTGAAGGTCAAGGGGAGACACTTCAATTTATTTTCCTTATATTTACTATTGTTGGAACTGCTTTGTCCGCATTGCAGATACTTAATATCATTTATCAATTGTTTTACGAATTTAAGGGCGTCGATAAAGAAAAACGACTTGTACATGAATTCGTGGAAACATTTGTATTTCTATGTTTTGTCGAAATTTCGCAGATGTTTTTGATAATGGGATTTTATGACGTCTGTACTCTAGATTGTGACATAAATGCCCCTGAAATTTTTATTGCAACGAATGGCATGATTTCTTACGTGAGAATATTCTGGAGATTCTTTACGAGCTTCAGTTGCTGTTCGTCCCATTTGACAACAAAACGGCGGCGGAAGGTGCAATTTACTACCAAGGGAGATAACAACTGTTGTCCTCTTTCCAATTGCTATACCGTTTGTTTGTATCTTTTGTATATTGAGTGGGTCGAAGAAAAGGTAAGAATCGTTAATTTTATTAGTAATCATTACAACTAAATATTGGTTTGCAGCTTACCGTACTGCAGTCAACCAATGTTTTTTATGAACCTGCCAAATTTATTTTGTGTCCTGAATATGGGCAAAATATTTGCCATTAGGCATATAACAAGCGATAAATATTATCAATGCAATTTTCAAACAGAATTTTCAAGATGGTAGATTAATTCTATTAGGCTTATATTGTGGTGGTATTTTCGATATTTTTGTAACCCAACAAATGTAAGGCTCTGTGGCACAATCTAGGGGGAGGCTCACGGTAGGAGGCCGGAAACAACAACAGGAAAGAAAACCAAACTAGGATATCAAGAAACTCGCTATTCATTTAATAAACAAAACATCAAAGTAATTAAAATATAATTTCAAAGTACAATTTTAAAGTTAAAATAAATTGAAAACAATAATAAAATACTACAAGTAATTCCAATTAAATATCAAATAATAACAATAATAATTACTGTTAAATTAAACCTTTGAATTAAAATATTAGTTACTTATAAACTTTATCTATTTCTTTCAAAATAAAATTAAAAGAAACTGAAATAATTTTAAATCTAAATCATTTTCAAAACCTAGAGACTCACCTAGAATATCAAGAAACTCGCTATTAATTTTATAGCGGCTTGATCAGTTTATATACTAATTTCTGAATGTCCTAGTAACCCTTAATTGACTGCAGCAAACAGGATTACAAAAAATAAACAGGATAACAAAAACAAAACAGGATAACGGAAGAATGTATAAGTTATTAACAAAAATTAGAATGCATAAATATAGTTATGGTCCAAAACCAGGCCAAAACTACAAGTTACATAAAAATGGTTTTTCTTTAATTTCTTATTTTAAATTTGCCAAATTATGTTTCAAATATATTTATTTACATTTTCCTAACTATAATACAAAACAATATACAACTTAAAAAATAACATTATAAATATTAATTTAGATCTTAATTAAAAGTAACTATGGTACTAGTTTGTGCCCTATAGCTTGACACAAATAAAGATGCTGACGTACGTTGACAGCTGTCCAAACTTTGTGACATTTTGTTGAACTTTGCTAGACATATTACCGGAGGTAAATTTGAAATATCCTGCTTTTAAAATTGAAGGAGAAAAGTTTTAAAGTATAGAACAGTTAAACAATAATTGCATATAAAATATTTTTGACAGTAGATCCTACATACATTAATTAATAAACTGTATGAAATAAAACAAACTGCATTTTTCTATTACAATACTTATATGATTAGTCGTAATGTAAAATAATATTTACACACGAATAAGGGTCTGGGTGAGATTATTACATAATAGAGAATAAAAAGAAAAAAAGTGGACCAAAAATGAAATAGAGAATAATGGGCTGCTAAAAAAAAGAATAAAAGTAGACTAGAAAATAAAGTAAAACGAAAATAGCCAAAGACAATACGAAATGAAGCACCCCCATCAAGACCTCCATAATTCGCGTTTCTGATTATATTAAGTACGCCAGAGACTACGAAAAGAAAGCTGGAAATAAAGCAAATATGTTTCGCTCAAAACATCTGAAATTAATGAAGAAACAAATATTGTCTATGGCCAATTAAGTTCGTAGTTTATGTATAACGACTGAAAATAATTTGCAAATTGTCACTCTAAACAAATCTATTTGGGTTTTGCTTTATAAAAACAAGTATTTTTGTGTATTTTCAGTAAACATGGCAAAAATGTGAAATGGAAATGTATGCAGTCGTGTAAATGTTGCATCCTGAGATGTTTTCCTTCCAGATTTGAAGAGCCAGACACCAAAGCTTGTGATTGTACATGTCGAAAATGCATGGCTTGTGAACGGTTCTGTAAATGTTGTGTTTTACGGTGCTTTCCAAAATATTTACCCACTCCTTTACAGGATGCATGTGAATGTTTGTGTGGTAAATGTATGCGTTGTGAACGAAATTGTCGTTGTTGTGTACTTCGCTGTTTTCCGTTGCATCTTGAGCCGCCAAAATCCGACGTTTGGACATGTAGGTGTTTTGAATGTCTCGCGTGCGAAATGCCATGTAAATGTTTTACATTTAGATGTTTCCCAACCCATTTAAAGTCCACTAAGACCGATATTTTGACGTGCAGATGTCGGGAATGCTTGTCGTGTATGCTACCATGTAAATGTTTTACTTTCCGATGTTTTCCTGAATATCAACGCCCTGAAATTTCTGATTGGTGGGAATGCACATGTGGTGACTGCATGAAATGTGAACGAGCATGCGCATGTTGTATTTTACGATGCTGTCCGTCATATTTTGATAGCAATGAATACTGTACATGTATGTGTAAGAAATTCCTGGCTTGTCAAAAGTCCTTTGGATGTTGCATATGTCGATGCTTCCCGGGCACTTTGGATTCCTCAAAAGAGGAGAATTGCGAGTGCACATGTGGTCAATTCTTAAAATGCAAAAATAACACTTGCACACTGTGCACCTCGAAAGTTCATCCTATAGTAGTAACAACTCAACCAAAAACTCCCCCACCTCCTCCAAAGCCTAGAGATTGTAGTAAGTGTATTAATTGTCTGTTGGGCTTTTTAGCTGTTTTAATCATCCTTTTGCTGCTTTTCTATTTATTTTTGTTAGTCGTACAAGTACGTTATGTGCTTGTATGCGAGGACAGTGGTGCGTTTATGTCATTCTTGCACCAAATATTTGTGCAGTGCTATCTCCTAATCTTTCTTTTCTGATATGACAATCATATTGATATGGATTTGATATAGATTTGTTTCGTGGTTTCAGTTAACTCGAACAATTCAATCCCTCTCCGTGTCCGATTTTCTCCAATGCAGCCATCGTATAGCAGCGGAATATAACGACTGAATTATTCGGGTTAGGTTTCAGTATTGAAAATGTCATTTACCATCGTTTCAACGGAAATAAATATTAATCTTTAAAAATGAACTTTTTTGTCTTGTGCATAATACTCATCTTAGAGGTTGGTGTCTTAAAGAACCTTATAAAAATTAGAATTATAAGCACCGAGGTCGTGCGCATTTTTGCGCATTCAGCGCTTCATTGTTCCATTCTCAGAAGCAATGATGTACAATAATTATAATTCTTCATAGTAATACAACATGAGGGACAAAACGTCAAGGAACAATCTTTGGTCAACTTTGTACTGTTGTTGTTTTGTTTGGTTGTGTTCTTTTGTCTCGAGAATGTGTTTTCCTCTGCGTTTCGAAATATATTTACAAAACAAAATGTATATTCTTATTTATTTATTATTTCTAGCACCCGGGTCTGGATGGGGTTTACAGAAAACAGAAAAGTGAGACAAAAAGAAAAATAATAATAGAGAAAAATGGCCTAAAATTTTTTTAAAAATGCAGAAATGAAGACCCCGATCCAGACACTCTTATATGGTTGAATCCCTTTCTTCTGTCTATTGTCTATGACCACACAAGTAACATTTAAATCAACATATTCAATGTTTTAATTGTATTATTAACACTGGGTTATTTAACAATTTTATTTTATTATTTCGATTTGTTAAGCCAAAAAGAGGAATATAATAATTGATATTTTAGAAATTATGAAATAAATTCTTATTTACATTTTTACCACATCCTTAAATTACTTTTTTTTTTAATTTAGATAGATAGTTATATGATAATCTGCATTTGTTGTGTTTATAAATAGAACGTGTATAAAATGTGTGAGTGGTTATCATTATGTTTTTTCTAATGCATGTGCTTTATATAAATAAGAAATAAAACAAATATTGAAAAAAATAGTTAATTTTCCGAGGTCAATTAGTCCGGATACCAATACGGTAACATGGAAGTTAAAATATGAGCAACATATCAGGTTCTAAGAGCAGGAACTTTTTACCCTTCCGAAGAACAAAAGTGAGCAACAGATCAGGTTAGATCTAATAACAGGAACTTTTTACCCTTCCGAAGCACATAAGTGAGCAACATATCGGGTTCTAAGAGCAGTAACTTGTTTATAAATATTGAAATTATTTAAGGTTATAACTCCCTCAGGCAAAGTTGAACTTAGATGGATTCGGCTATAGCTATGTGTATGCCCCCGTCGTAGCGGAGGGAGCATTAAGTGTAACCCATGTGCGTCCGTCCTTCCGTCCCGTCTGTCCGTCTGTCCGTCCCGAACGTCCCCAAAATTGGTTTCCGTTCTGTAACTAGAGTTTGCCTCAACCAAATATTATAAAACTTATACACAATGCATTTTACCACAAAACACAGATCAAGTTCGAAATTGGGTGGCGTCACTTTTACCGTCCATGAGTTATGCCCCTATATAAATGGAAAAATTGCTAAATCTTTCGTTTTCGTTCTCTACCTTTAGTTTGCCTCAACAAAATGTTATGAAACTTAGGCTTATAATCACAAAACGGTCTTAACTACGTGAATCCTGCATCTATATGTGGAAGTTGACGCATGCATTTTTACAAGCGGGGGCATCTGTGGCCCATAGACACATTCTCCATTTATTTAGGTATTTATTCATTGTTTGAGTTCTTATGAATTTTCGGCTTTCAAATATTCGGCTTTGAGCGTTCCTGATGAAGGTAAATCCAGAAAAGCGCTTCGGACACATGAAATTATTTAATGTGTTGTTTCATTTTTACCCTTCCGAAGCATCTAAGTACACCGACAGATTTTTTTGCTGGCTCTATTTTGTCTGTCTGTCTGTCCGTCTTTTCTTTTACTTTTGGTCATTATTCTGTGTCATTCGTCACTTTATGATTTCGGGTTGCCCATTCGGTACCTTCTTCCCTTTAGCGAGAATGCCAAATTTTGCAATGAAGAATGTGGTTTATCATGGACGGAACCAGCGAGAGATTCTCCTATATCCCCCTTCCGTGACAATCCGATCGCTTCTAGAATTTACTTTAATTTGCGATTTCTCAATTGATTGATTGGTTGTTGATGTTTATTAGCCACAAACTGCACTCTTGGCTATATCGTGGCGGCCATGCAGTTTGTTTTTGTTTTTGGTGCAAGAAGTTTTTGGTGCAAGAAGCCGGAGTGCCTGGAGAAAAAAAACGACCTTCAACAGGAAAACTGACAATCATTGTCAATTAAGATCGGATTCGAAGAGACCTGCTACGTGCGGGCTTTGAACTCACAACCTCAATGTTGACAGGCTAGTGTTACTGTTTATGAACTATTCAGACCACACGACTACCGAGACCCCTCCATTTCTGTATTCTTTAATTTTTTAAGGCATTTTTCTCTATTCTTTATACTTTTTGTCCTTTATTCTCTATTCTTTATATTTTAGCACCTCATTATTCTCTATTCTTTATTTTTTTGGTCCATTTTTCTCTATTCTTTATATTTTTGTTCATTATTCTCTATTCTGCAAACCCCATCCACACCCTCATGCATATGGTCTATTTCCTGCATTCAATAGACGCTATAAGTGTGATATGAATAAGTGATACGAAAATTCATATTAATTTGGTTGGCCTATCCTGCAATGTGTTACGAAATTCGACATTTCTTTTGGCTTTTGGTTGGATCAATGATGACTTTCAAAGGCAACATTTTCATCTTAAAATATTTTTTTTGTCAAATTTTATTCCATTCTAAAGCGGACATATAAGCTTGAAAACGTTGGTGTTACTATAAGTCTGAGTTCCTGGCACGATATTTTCAATACCGGAAGTGGACTTATATTTGAAATGAAGCTTGTGAAATCAAAATTATTTCACCGGGACAAAAATGAAAAAAATCATCACCATAAGTGAAATCTGGAGAATTGAGTATCGCTTGATATCAACTCTCGTCATTTAATTTAAATGATACTAATCAACTCGTCAAAGGCTCCTTTATCATTATATTGAAATCACTCGAGTTAACAGCAAGCGATATTCAATTCTCAGTCGTTATGAAACCTATTAGATTATTTTTTTAAATAGCTATCAAGCAATCCTTAAGAATAAATAACTCGCATCGGCCTTTACCACCATTCACGCACGACGTATCTAATACTGCAAATCTTTGTTCTTGACGAAAATGCAACTTATGGATACAGAATTGGAAAACTGGCTTTTAAGGCATTGAAATACAGTTCAAAATGACGATTTCATTCCTATAATTCAGTAGAAAAATCTATCACAACCCTCATGTCGTCACAAAGGTTTCATTTAAGGAGAAACTATAAAAACACAAGCAATACAAATAAATAGCATGCAATGTTAAAAACAATTTAAAAAAGAAAAAGTAGTATTTTGTGTAGTTGGATTAATGTCTCATTGGAGTATAGCCAAATCTCCTTTAATATATAGAATATTATCTCCGTGGTGTATTCTATTAATGGTCTTCAATAAACATTTTGGATGATCGTTTGGATCATTGGATCATTTATGTACTGGTAAATTTATTCTTTTTTCAAATTAAGAAAATATAAAGTATGACGTATGCGCTTTTTTTTTAATTAAGCAATGACTGATATATTTTTTCTGTCTATGAAGAAATAATATCAAAAATGTGGTGCACACTGAATAACACGCGCAGCGAGTAATTTAAAAGTGTGCACCACATTTTTTTAGGTTATTTCGAATAGACAGAAAAAAATATCACAGTCATTCCTTATAATTTAATTCTAAACTTGTTTAAGGAGTAGATCATGAAAAAACGTTGATGACGTCACGGTCACATATGATAACAAAAATATGTCTATGAGCTGATAGACAAAGAACTTTCACCCTGTCAGAAGACGTGTTACATCCAAAATAAATTTATGAACTGATGTCTTATGTATACATAGCTAAAGATATCCTTCATGACCTTGACGGGTTACTTTTTAGAAATATAACAAAATATCTCAAAATTTATTTGGACAATAATGTCGAAAAACAAACTAATTTTATATAATGTCAACTGACGTTTTATTTTTATAATGTTATAGTTTCAATATTCAACAATATGATAGTCGTGCCACCAACTTAACGACCTATTCCTCCAATCAGGTCTTGGAGTGTGCAGTGGCAATGTCCGTCAACACAATGAGATCTCTGACCGAATCTGCAATGTTCATCCCTACAGTCACCAGCAGCTGCGCATGCTGAAGAAAGAAAAAAAAAGAAAAAATGCAATTAATTATTTGAAGTACTTTATACAATATATAACAGATAATTTATATAAACATATGCCGATGGAAGACAGACAATAGCAAAGCCTTATAGCAAGAGCTCACAAGACAAATAACAATAATAAAAAAACTTAAAGGGGCATTAGCTGTCAAGTTCATGTTCACCGATTTGACTCAAATTCTCATATTTGATTTATAACATACTAAAACGTATATCCAAATTACAATAAGTCTGAAATAAACAATTAACAATGCATAGACTCGATGATATATATCAGCATTTCGTGTGTATTTTAGTCTAGACGCCATCTAGTTAACCATCGAGATGACCTCCGAAGATTTCTGACGGTCACAACCGATGATGAATTATTCACTTGCAAATGAATAATTCGACCTCTTGGAATCCGTATTCATGTGAACTTCAATTTAACCCCTTAACTAGAGATGGATTATGCATGATTGATGCGTGTTAGGCTATTAAACGAAAAGAATGTCAACATTTAAAGTGAAACAAAGGTAAATCATTTGATTGACTGATTCGATCCACAAAAAAATCATTCTTATACAGGTAAAAATCGAAAATTAACTTATTTTTTCAACCTTAAAATTGAAATCAAACAGACATAGAAAAATCCATTTGCACGAGGTCCATATATCTATTGATATTTATGTTTATGTTTATATCGTGTCATGTGACTGTCGGTTGTTTTCGGGGTCATCTCGATAGTTAATTAGATGGCATCTAGACTAAAATACACACGAAACGAAGCTTCATATTATTGAGCCCATGCCCTGTAAATTGTTTATTTAAAACTTTTTATAATTTGGATAAATGTTTTACATTGTTATAAATATAATATGAGAATTTGAGTCAAATCGGTGAACATGAATTTGACAGCTAGTGCCCCTTTAATTCATGCTCGACCTAATTGTGTGCATGAATGATTCAAGTTGGATAATCTGAGCCCCTCGGCGAAATTAATTAAACAAATTGAAAACTGAAAACTAAATTTTAGTAGGAGTTTATTTTTTTTAATCGTCCTTAACACTCACATAATAACTTACTATTCTTAAATTAATTGTTAAATGTTTTTAGGTAAAGTTTTTGTCCCTTTTTACTGTCTTCTTACAATACGGAGCAGTAGGATTCTTTCCCCTGGATTGATCATTTATTTTCATCTGTTGCTACGAATGTTTATTTTCTTTTTCTGCGGCTCGAAAATTTATTTTCACTTTTGAACACATTTGTATCCTCAACATCCTGCATTTATTCATATAATATCATTCATTTTACCAGACAAAATTAATCAATTTTAAATCCTCCTTACCTCCCTCCCCCCCCCCCCCCCCCCTTCCGAAAATAAATAGGTCGTCCCCTTAATACATGTTTAGATGTTTATAATTACTATGTCCGGTGGTTCCTGTGCTGCACGTGCAATGTCCAAGTCCGCAGACGACTGTGTGGGTAGAGTCCGAGCATTTCGTTTGAGTACAGTCGCGGTTTCTAATGCATGTCTCAGAATAAACTGCCACTGAAAGAGAAAATATAATTATGCTTTATATCTTTTAAAATTATATTTCTTAAATATTACTCGTTAAAACAATATTAAACAAGATCTGTGGATATTTCCAGAGGAATAAGACGTAATTGTGACTGA